CCTCCGGGCCAACAGCCACGCTGCGATCCCTTTCTTCCACTCCCTTTTGGGATTTAGGACAGACACACACACACGTGTGCCTGGCGTGATTTTCAAGCTGCCGGGCCCAGGACTCAGCATTTGCATGTGCGAGTCCAACTCCTTAACCGCTATGCCACCTGCTGGCCCCAAGAAGCTACATTTGTAGAAATGAAAATAAAAGGTAAGAGAAAGTAAGACCAGGCCTAAGTTTCTTGTTTTGTTTTAATAAGCCAGCAGGCACGTGTGCTCACTGGAGAGGCGGGGGGGTGAGGAAGCACCCCATGGAGGACGCTCGGGCTGTCCCCATCTCTCGCTCCCGTCGGGATCTTACACACACGCAACGCACATGCAGGTGCCAGGCGTGTTCCTCAAGCTGCCAGGTCTGCGCCTAACTGCACGGTGGCCCTGTGGGGTCCAGCCACTAGCCCCCGGCCCCGCTGGCCCCTGAGCTTTCTGCCATCGCTCCCCGGTACTGCTGGCAGAACTTCCGCTCTACTCAGAAAAGACAGAAACTTCACCTGCTCCCGACCCTGGGGGGTGCTCTACGGAGGGATTCAGAGACTGGGCAGGCTTTGCTGTCCCAGCAGGAGGGCTCAGCTTCCCTGCCACCAAGGCCCCTCAGGACACAGGGCGTCGTGGCCCCAGCTGCCCAGGGCTGTCTGGGGAAAGCTCCCAGGTGGGATTGGGGGCAGGGCCCCTCTCATCGCCCTCTGCAACCCTGCCCGCTGGAGTCTTGGGCCCCTAACCCCCATCAGAAAGCAGAGCCCATTCTAGAACAACGTCTCAAACGCCCAGAGACGAGAAGCAGCAGGGTCGATGCTCGGAGCTCGCGGGGGGACAGTCACGGAAGAATAGCTGGCCCTGGTAGCCAACGGGCCTCCTGGCTTTCAGACCGACAGCCACACATGGTCTTGCAAGCGCAGACACACACGGCCACCGCACTGTTTAAATGCCAGAAGGAAGGCACGTGTGCATGGAGGCGGGAGGAGAGAAGGCGCCCTCTGTGAGGCCCGGTTCCGTCTCAATCCCCTCTCCTCGACACTCCGACCATCGGATCCTGGGCACGCACGCACACTGAGCGTTTAGCAAACTGCTGGAGCCGGCACTGGAGCCCTGGTCAGCGTGTGGTTTGGTCTGCAGAGACTATCCCGAGCTTCGGGGCTGGCCCTGTGGCACACTCTGAAACCTGGCCACAGGGCAGCTCCCTTAAGGGAGCCTCCAAGCTGCCTGGTGCCCTCGGGGTGAGACGTGGACCCCTCCAGGGGACCTGTGGGACACTGGGGCTGTCCGCTGTGCTTGCTCACAGGTCCCACACTCCCTGCCGTCTCTTCTCTGCAGTGCAGGGACAGCAGAGGCCCGAGCACCCCTGGGCTTCAGCATGGAGACCTCGGTCCTCTCCGCTCCTCCCGGCCCTGACACCGAGCACGGGCCTGGCCCCTTAGAGGGGGCAAATGACACACCCTGGCCACGGAGAGCCAGCTGAGCCCGGAGCCCTGAGCGGGTGGCGCGTGGCCACCCGCGCACCCACCTTCTCCCCGGTCATGGCGAAGGGCGCGTTGAACCACTGCTCGAAGGTGCTGCAGCTCTTGAAGATGGTGGGCAGCAGGAAGTTGAGCAGCGCCCAGAGCTCGGGCAGCTTGTTCTGCAGCGGCGTGCCGGTGAGCAGCAGGCGGCGCGGGGCCACGTAGTGCGTGTTGAGCACCTGTGTCAGCTTGCAGTGGTGGTTCTTCATGCGGTGGCCCTCGTCCACGATCATGTACTTCCAGCGGATCTGCGGGCCAGGGGCGAGGCGTCAGGGTGGTGGGCGGGGCTGCCCGGCCCGGGGGCGCCTCCCACTGGAGACCCCTCAGTCCCCGCAGCCGGGAGGGGTCTGACCAGAGGCTGTGGGGCAGGGGCACATGGCAGGATGCCTTCCCCGACCGAAGACCGGGTCCCCGAGATAGAGCCCTATGGTAGGGACGGGGAGCCGGATGGAGACACGCCTGCGACAGTGTCAGAGAAGCCAGGCTGGCTCTAGAAATGGAAAACGCTAATGTGAGAAGACTCCACAAACTCCACAGAAAGATGACGGTGACACAGGAGTTTACTCTCACACAGGGACACTCTCCCCTGTTCTCCTCCCTGTCGGGCCCTGGGCCAGACACTTGCACGCTCCCACCGGGTCCAGGATTTGAACCACAAAGTAGACCAAGTGGGATCTGGCTCCCTTAGCCACAGGGGTCCCAACTCTGCAGAGTTTTTGATCCCCTCCCACGAACCCTCTGAGGACTCCTCGTACGCAACACTGGAAACCACCCGCCCGTCCAGGGATAACGCAGATCTGAGGGTCGCCGACGTGGGGTGGGGCTGGGGGGACAGGTACATTTCCAGTGGCCCACTGTGTCTGTGAGGGCAGGTGAGCGGCACTGGTGGGTTCCCAGGGTGAGCTCTGTGGTCCCAGGAGCCCCACAGCCTGTGGGTGACTCCGAGCAGGATAGATGTGGGCCAGTGAGTGTGAGTCCATATTCCACCCCTGGGTGGCCATGACGGGGACCATGCAGGCCCCTGGGGACATCAGGCTCCCAGTATGCCAGGGCCGTGCAGGTCAGGACTAAGACACGGCAGAAACCTCCCATGAGGCGTGGCGCTGAGCCGGGCCACCATCAGGCGGGCAGGACTGACTCTCAGGAGTGGGTGGGCTGCTCTGTACAGGGGCAGGAGGGGCGACCCGCCGGGGCACATACATTGTGGCCTGGACACCCAGTTCCCTAGCTGTCACCGCAGGGAGGTCAGGAAAGCACCCGGTATGGTAGTTCCGACCCAGAGCTGAGGGGTAACGGCTGAGCACCTGCACCCAGGTCCAAAGCCCTGCCCTCTGGCCCGCACTGCACTGGGCTGGCAGCGAGGCCAGACTCTCCACCTCTCCCCTGGCCCGCCTGCAGAGCAGGAAAATGAGCCTGGAGTCTTCTACCGGCCGGGGACCTGTCTATTTCACATACGAGCCCTGCACTGGGAGGACGGCCCTGGCCGGTCCCCCCCCCCACCTCTCTCTCACACACGTACACGTACACACGTGCAGAGGGAGATGGGGAACTGCTGGGGAGGCCCTGGAGAAGAAGGGCAACAGGGCACAGGCACGCCGGCCGAGCGGCAGCCCCGCAGCGCCCCCTGCAGCCCGAGCCGCGCAGGCGCACTACCTTGGCGAGGATGTGCTTGTCCTTGATGATGTACTCGTAGGTGGTGAGCAGCACGTTGAACTTCCCGCTCCGGAGCTGCGGCACGAACGCCCGTCTGGCCGCTGGCGAGCCCTGCGGGGACGGACCGGGCACTCAGCCCTCGGGGCCGGGGTGGCCGCGTGGCACTGGTGGCTGCCCCACGGCAGCGCTCCTGACCAGGGCGGAGGGCTGGTCCTGGACAGAGGGTCCGCCCCACGGAGCAGGAGGGGAACAAGAGGACCACAGCGCCCCTGGAAGCCGTGTGGCCGCTCACCCCCCACCAGTGCTGGTGGCTGCTCGGTGCCCTCACCTGGCCCCATGTCGTGCTGGAAACCAGAGCCCCCTTAACACCCCTGCCGAGTGCTGGCCACAGACCACAGATCTCCTCCCCGACTGCCAGTCTGCCCCGTCCCTGCCCAGGTCCAAACCCGGGAGCAGGTGACCGGGGCCCCGTCTGTGGAGCTGGCTCTGCCTTCAGGCTCACACTGGGCTCCAGCCAGCAGGGGTACGTCCAGCCCCGCCCCACCCCGGTCAGCAGGGGTACGTCCACCCCCGGCCCACCCGGCTCTCCCTGTCTGGTCCCCTCAGCCTGGCCTCCTTCTTCCTGTCCTGGGCTGAGCGCCTCATGACGGGGTAAAATGCCGGGGCCTGAAATGCCAGCAGCCAGGGACATGACAGGCTGTCCTGTCACTTGCTGGGTGCGTGGGAATGACCCCTCCCTCAGTCTCCCCACCAGGCCTGCCAGCCCAAGGACAGCCCCCATGAAACAGGGTGCCTGTGAGACCCATGAACAGGTCTCCCTGATGCACGGAGGCCCGTGGCGTGCGTTCATTAAGTCCCCGGGCAACAAGAAGTTCGGAAAGGAAGCTCAGAGGACAAGGGATGCTTTGGGTGAACACACGAATGTGCAACCAATGGAGAAGAAAACGGGTAAAAGCAGGCATTTTCCCTCGGAGTGAAGGAGTGAGCTCGAACCCACAGCAATACTCGGGCCTCGCGCACGTAGAACGAGCGATCGCACAGAGTACCCACCCTCACAGCGGGCGGCGCTCCCTCCTGTCACTCACTGCCTCCCGCCCCCCGGCCGCCCCGCCTGGTTGTGGGCTGCGACATACCTTGTAGGACACCTTCACCACGGAGGGGGCCCACTTGTCGAACTCGTACGCCCAGTTGGACAGCGTCCTGACGGGACAAGGAGGGGACAGTCACATTCCAATCTGCCTGAGCACCTCACGGCTCCGTGCCACCATGGAAGGGGGGCACTGGCTCCAAGGAGGACTGCTGGCAGAGTGGGAAGAACCAGGCGCCTGGGAGACCAGGCCTGCCACTAAGAGGGGGTGGCAGATCCCAGAGAAGACGCTGCATGGTGGGCAGGAAAGCACAGCCGCAGGGCCGGCAGGTGGCGTGGTGGTTAAAGACACTGGACTTCCACATGGCTGATCACGGTTCAAGTCCCGGACATGGCGGCTTGCTTTTTTCAATCCCCCCTCCTTTTCAATTAAAATCTTGCACTCTTTTCAATTAAAATGATGATGATGATTATGATAAATAAATTTTTTTTTTAATTTTTAAAAAAGGAAACCACAGCCCCAGTGCCAAGGGGCAGGTGTGGAACATGCCGGCCGCCCTGCAGTGCACACCGGGGCGTGCGACAAACACACAGAACAACAATGGCAGCCCCCGGGCAGGGAGAGGG